CTAGGACTTCACTCTTCTTCGTCACGGTGTACACCTAACAACGCCTAGAATAGTCATCTACAAAAGTGATGAACCAATGTCTACCACCAAGTGATGCATTATTGGTGGGACCCCAAACGTCTGTGTGCACGTAGTCCAGGATGCCCCTCGTCTGATGAATGTCAGTCCCGAACTTCACCTTTGTCTTCTTGCCAAGAACACAATGCTCACAGAACTCAATCTTTTCACTCTTGTTTCCCTTCAATAGCCCCTGCTTATACAATGCCCGCTGTGACTTTTCACCTGTGTGCCCCAACCTATAGTGCCAATGTCTGCTCATGTTCGCTTCTGAAATAGCCGAAGCAACCTGGCCAATCTCGATGCTTCCCTTCAGATAATACAAATTTTGATTGCGGACTCCCTTCATCACCACCAATGATCCCTTAGTAACCTTGGCCACAGTATTTTCGAAAGTCACCTTGAATCCCTTTGCCTCCAAAGCTTCAACTGAGATAAGATTATTCTTCAGCTGAGGAACGAATCTCACCTCCTTCAATTCACGGATTAATCCATCGTGCATCCTAATCCGCACGGTATCTATCCTATAAATGCCAAAGGATTGATCATTTCCCATGACAACAACACCCCCCGTCGACTTTCTCAATAGATGCAAACCAGTCTCGCCTAGGGGTCACATGATAAGTAGTGTCAGAATCAAGCATCCAATCTGATGCATCCATATGGTTCACCTCCGGAGTAATCAGTAGAGAAAATCACGGATCATCGGAATCATCGTCTTTCGCAACGTTCACCTCATTGGCCTTTGGGCCCTTTTTCTTGCCATTCTCCTTCTCCTTGAGCTTCGGACAGTCTCTCTTTCAATGTCCCTGCTCCTTGCAGAATTCACATTGGTTCTTTGCTAATTGGTGGCGGCTTCTTGACTTCGACCTCCCTCTATTACCACCTTTTGGATATGGGCTTCTTCCTCTCGTCGATAAGGTCTCGCCTGAAGTACTAGCGCGGGAAGTCTCATTATCCTTCCTCCTCAAATCGTAGTTCATCAAAGCGTTAGTCACTTAACTATAGCTGATAGAAGATCTTCCGTTCAACAAAGTGAGCACGAAGATATCATACTCCTCATCCGGTAAGGAGCCCAATAAGATAATAGCCGTGTACTTATTCGAAATCTTCTCATAAACATTTGCCAAGTCCGACAACAACTTAGTATAGTTGTTCACATGCGCCGCTAGTGAGGTGCCTCTGGACATCTGAAATCTGAATAGCCTTCGCAGCAAGTGCAACCTGTTCTCAACACTCTTCGTGAGATACTTATTATTGAGAATTTCCCACATCTTTATTACATATGTCACCTCAATCACATGCTTCATTGCAGACGTCACCCTAATCCCAAATGTATTAATGGGATTGACCATTGGAATGCAAATTTACATGCTCCATTAGAACCTGTTATCTTTAGCAAAAAAGTACTTTGGCATTGACGAAATGACTGTTTTCTTTTAAATGGAAATTCAGTGAAGAGCCATTGATGAAATGACATGTTTTCTTTTAAAATGGTCAAAAATTGTAGATTATAGCTCACGAAATTATCTAGAAAATTATTTGCCAATAAAAACCACTAGAAATGATCAAAAATTGTGGTTTATAGCTCATGAAGTCGTGAAGCTTAGACCCTGAGAAATTATTTGCCAATTGGTTGAAATAGCAGAAAAAAGCTAAAATCATGGGTTATAGCTCACGACATTGTGACTTTTAATTTGTAGCAATTTATTCGCTAATGGGTCACGACCATTAGAAATGGCAAAAAATCGTATGTCATAGCCCACGAAATCGCGAATTTTGGCCTTCGCAAAATAATTTACCAAAGGATGAAAACCATTAAAAATATCCAAAAATCATGTGTCACGGCTCATAAAATTATGAATTTTAGCCTCTACAAAATTATTTGCCTACAGCTCGAAACCATTAAAAAATGTTTAAAATATCATAATTTGTAGCTCAACAAATTGTGAGTTTTGGCCTTCAGGAAATTATTTTCCAACAGGTCAAAAGCACTAAAAGTGGCCATAAATCCTAGGTTGTAGCTCAAGAAATATTGAATTTTAACCTCCGGGAGATAATTTGCCATTGGGTCGAAATCATTAAATATGTCACAACATCACAACTTAGAGCTAATGAAATGGTGGTATTTTGCCTCCATGAAATTAATTGTGATTGAGTAAAAACTATTAAAAATGTCCAAAAATCGTGTGTCGTAACTCATGAAATCATGAATTTTGACCTCCACAAAATCATTTGTCCACGGGTCAAAACCACTAAAAATGTCAAAAAAATCATAGCTTCTAGATCATGAAATTGAGAAGTTTGGCCCTCAAGAAATTATTTGCCAACAGGTCAAACCACTAAAATTGGTAAAAACATCATGGATCATAGCTTACGAAATCATGAACTTTTTCTCTAAGAAATTATTTATCTATGGGTGAAAACCACTAGAAATTATTTATCAATGCAAAAATAATTAGAAGTGGTAAAAAATCATGGGCTATAACTCACAAAATCGTGAATTTTAGCCTTCGAGAAATTATTTGCCAATGAGATGAAACCTCTAGAAATGATAAAAAATCATGGCTTGTTGCTCACAAAGTCGTGAATCTTGGACTCTGAGAAATTATCTGACATCGGATCGAAACAACTGAAAAAGTTTAAAATTCACGAGTTGTAGCTCATAAAATCATGAAATTTGGCCTTTGAAATTATTTGCCCATAGGTTAAAGCCACTAAAATGCAAAATCATATGTTATAGCTTATAAAATTTATAAATTTTGACTCATAAGAATTATTTACCATCGGGTCGAAACCGCTAGCAATAGGCAAAAATCATGGGTTATAGCTCATGAAATCGAGAATTTTTACCTCCAGGAAATTATTTTCCTACAGGTTGAAACGATAAAAAATCATGGTTTATAGCTCATAAAATTTAGAATTTTTTCAGGTAGGAAATTGTTTGCCAATGGGGCAAAACCAATAAAAACAGTCGAAAATTATGAGTTATAACTCATGAAATCGTGAATTTTGACCTATATAAAATTACTTGCATATGGATCAAAACTATTAAAAATTGTCAAAAATTATAGGTTATTACTAATGAAATCATGAATTTTGGCCTCAACAAAATTATTTTTCAATGGGTTGAAACCACAAAAAATGGCCAAAAATCATATGTTATAACTCATGAAATCATGAATTTTGGCACCCTAGAAATTATTTACCTACGAGTCAAAACTAATAAACATGTCCAAATATCATGGATAACTCATGAAATTATGAATTTTAGCCTCCGAAAAACTATTTACCTGTCGGTCGAAATCCTTAGTCGAAATCATTAGTCCAAAAATTCTAGGTTATAGCCCATGAGATGGTAAACTTTTGCCACCAGGAAATAATTGGCCAACAGGTTGAAATCACTAAAAATTTCAAAAAATCATGACTTATAGCTAATGAAATGGTGATATTTGAACTCTAGAAAATTATCTGCAAACAAGTGGAAATAATTAAAATTTCTATATCACGGCTCAGAATATCGTGAATTTTAGCCTTTAAAAAATTATTTACCAATAGTAGAAACTACCAAAAATGGCAAAAATGTGAGTTATGACTCATTAAATCGTGACTTTGGTCTTAAATAAATTATTTTCCATTGATTCGAAATAACTATAATTGGTCAAAATTCATAGGTTATAGCTTATAAAATCACGGAATAATGAATTTTGGTCACCTTGAAATTATTTGCCTATGGGTTGAAACCACTAAAAATGGTAAAAAAAATCGTGAATTATAGGTCTTGACATCGTGAATTTTATCCTCTGGGAAATTATTTGTCTATGAGATAAAACTACTAAAACCGGACAAAAATAATGGGTTATAGATCATGTAATTGTGAATTTTATCCTCCACAAAATATTTACAAATGGTGTAGTAACCACTAAAAATGGCCAAAAGTCATGTATTATTACTCATGAAATTGTTAAATTTGACCTTCGGGAAGTTATTTGCCAAAGGGTCGAAACCACCTAAAATGGCCAAACATTTTTGGCTATAGCTCATAAAATCGTGAAATTTATCCTCTGCCAAATTATTTGCTAAAGGTTTGAACCCACTAAAATGCCCAAATTTTATTTTTTATAACTCTTGAAATTATAAAATTGTTCGAAACCACTAATAATGGTCAAAAACCATAGGTTATAGCTCACCAAATTGTGAATTTTTGCCTACACAAAATTGTTTGTTAACAGGCCAAAACCACTATAAATGGCCAAAAAACTGTGGATTATAACCTAAGAAGTCATGAATTTTGGCTTCTACGAAATTATTTGCCCACAGGGTGAAACCGCCAAACTGGCCAAAAATCAAGGGTTATAGTTCAAGCATTCATAGATTTTTGCTCTCAACTTCCATCATGCAAGTAGTAGGGCTTTGGTTTTTGTTAGTGAATAAATGATGTTTTGTTTGAATTTGACTGGGTTCGCTGTTTCTATATAAATGGACTTTGAGCTCATTGACATTGTTTTTCACACCCGAGTTGATAAATGTGCACTCAAATAATATCGATCGTTGGATCATTAAATTTCGAGATTCGTGCCTAGAGCCAACAGTTGGCATTATTTGAGTGCACATTACATTTCGAGGAGTTAGTATGACTACATTTAGTATCTGGAGAAACTAAAGCATTTAAATGGATTTGACGATAACTCGAAAGCAATTAATTGCCTTACTTTTCTTAGCTACACTGTGAACGTCAAACTTGAGAACAATTAGCATCATAACAAATAAATGTCTTCTTCTCAAATATAACAATATTTTGTTTGTAGTAATCATTCAACTCTCACATTTGGTAACCGTAATGAATGTATATATCGTGTACGCATTTTCCTCCATGGTTCCCAAAACGATAATGCATTCACACATACTATGTTGAGGCCTATAAAAATAGTGAGAGCGTCTCTTGTCCTTCTCCTCCTACATCCATCAATCAATGGCAATGGCAGTCTCTAGCCACCTCCTCCCGCTCATAATTGTTCTCACCATTTTCTCTCCATCCTTCGTGCAGTCATCAGCAACTTGCCATGACGATGATCACTCGTTCCTGTTAGAATTCAAGAAGAGCATCACCGACGACCCTGTAGGTCTCCTTGCCACTTGGAACATTAGCACGGACTGCTGCAAATGGGAAGGCATCGGCTGCGATCTCTCCACTGGCCGCGTCGTCAACCTCAGCCGTCCAGGCGTCTTCACCAGTGACGATGCTCCTATGGACACTTCCATGACCGGCACGATCCCTTCATCGGTATCTCGTCTCTCTCATCTCCGACTCCTTGATCTCAGCAGTCTCAAATGCCTCCATGGATCCATTCCTCCTCCTCTCGGCCAACTCACTTCACTGGTCGAGCTTCGGCTTCAAAATAACAATCTTACAGGCCCAATTCCTTCTACTTTTGGTAATCTCGTTAATTTGCGAACGCTCAGTCTCGGCTCTAATCAGCTATCTGGTACAATCCCTCCGTTGATATTCTCGGCTCTTAGATATCTCACCGAGCTTACTATGTCGGAAAACCAGCTCTCTGGCTCCCTTCCTCCATCCATTGGACATCTAAAATTACTCGACACTCTCGACCTTCACACCAACAATCTCAGCGGAAACTTACCGTTGGACATCGGGATGCTCAGAGAACTGACGTATCTTGATATTTCCCAGAACCAGCTTTCTGGCAGTCTTCCTGAATCCATCGGCAACCTCAGAAAACTCGAGGTTATGTATCTGGATCAAAATCGACTGTCCGGTGAAATTCCATCATCTGTCTCCGGCATGACCTCTCTTGCAATCCTTCGCCTGAGCAGTAACCAGTTAACCGGAAAGATACCTGATTCAATCACAGGCCTCACTCACCTTGAGCGCTTGCTTCTAGACTACAACCAGCTCACTGGAGAAATACCAGCTTCAATCGGTAGTCTCCGCAACCTCAGCATCATCTACCTCTCCAACAACAGATTAACAGGACGAATCCCTTCAACTCTCGGCGACATGGGGCTCAGTTACCTAGATCTCTCAGAAAACAACCTATCAGGCCCAGTTCCTGCTAGTCTCTCCAAGCTCACTGATCTCGAATCATTTGGCCTCTCATTCAACCCTCTCCTAAACCTAGACGGCCTTCCGAGTTGGATAGGCAAACTGCCTCTGCAGGTGCTGAGGATGGCCGGCGTCGGTCTCGTGGGTCCCGTTCCTGATTGGATGTCGGCGTTGACCGGTACTCTCGGTGATCTCGACCTGTCGAGCAATAAGTTATCAGGAGAAATTCCACATTGGATCAGCGACACGCAATACCTTTACTCTGTCAACTTATCCAACAATGCCTTCGAATGCAAGTTACCTCTGGAGCTGTTCAAGGGTATGGACACGTTGACTAGGCTCGACCTCAGCAACAACAGATTCACCGGAGGAATAGAGGAGGACATTGGGGAATGGCGAGCAATGCGGGGGGTCGAATATTTTGACGTGTCTGGTAACCCTTTAGGAGGAGAGATACCGGAGTCTATGAGGAAGATGAAGAGTTTGACGGAGGTGAGGATGGCGAGAAACGGGTTAACGGGTCGGATCCCCGTGGGGTTGTTGGACCTTGGGGGGCTTACCCTGATTGACTTGTCGGATAACAGGTTGTCGGGTCCGATACCAAATCACAAAGCCAGTGTTGGGGCCGAAGGGTTCCGGGGGAATCCGGGACTTTGCGGAGAGCCATTGCCACCATGCAAGTAGTACTATGGTGGACTTACACTAGTTAGTTAATGGTGCTTCTTTTGACTTTGGTTGGGGCTGCTGCTGTTCATTGATGTTAATGGATTTTGAGTTCCTTGTCTTTTGCTAGTTAATCAACAAATATAAACTTACCTATCTGGAATAAAACTTGATGCTCACTTGACTAATTTACTTTTAGCGCTACTTGGGTAGCGGCATCAATTTTTAGAAAATTCGTTTTTCAATTCATGATCAGTGGGATTTAAACATGGGTTCCTCTGATACCATTTTAAATTAAGTCTCTCTTGCCATTACACCATATATGTACTGTTCGTTAGTTAGTTAGTCATATCATATCATATATGTGAAGAAGCTAGCTAACAATTCATTGCATTGCTTTCAGTTTCAAACAAACTGTGCTGAAAAGCTGTTTTATGCGTCCTCGTGCAAACTGCATTCTTGTGAAGGAAATCCCTACCCTACATCTTGTTTTGAGATAACAAAAGGTTCACGATGCATTATAAAGCGTGATATTTGTCAAAATTGGTTATCTAGTTGATTATGCGTGCAACTTTAATTAGAAGCAAAATGCAATCGTGTAAGTCTGCTTTTCTCATGAAATTGGAAAGGGGAGAAAATGAACAAGGCCTTTGCTTTGTGTAGATGCCTCGGTTTTACAGTTGTAAAAAGATTGATTAATTTGGCAAAATTTAGGTGGTATGCTCTATGCATTCACCTTTTTCTAGTCTTGATGTTATTCATCTCTAGGCTGCTTCGTCTAGCTGATTGATAGCTGAAGTTAAAAGGATTTTAGTATTCCAATTGAATCGTACTAAGTTGATATGCTTCTAAGTTGTGATTATTAATTCCAGACATTTTTCTAAATTGATAAAAACTTTTTGCTTATTTGAGAAAATTCAGTGTTCCCCTCCAAATGGTGTCTCAATGAAAAAAAGGCCACCACAAGAGATTTCTCATTGTATAGAAATATATTTACTCTTGGAAATGCAGCGGGGATAGCTCAGTTGGGAGAGCGTCAGACTGAAGATCTGAAGGTCACGTGTTCGATCCACGTTCACCGCATCAAGAATTTTGATTATTTTATTTTATTTTTTCAGTTTAAAAGGTTGTGTTATAAATACCACTTAGACACCTTATAGTTTTCCCAACCTTACAATTTTATGATTTTTTTTGTTTAATAGTTGTATACATACCACTTAAACACAATACAACCTCATGATTATTTTGATATTATTTTCAAAATTTTAAGTTTAAAAGTTGTATAATCATGTCATATCATATCAAATCATATCATATCATACTCCATCTAAAAGTGGGAGTTTGGGAAAACTTTCCATAGATAAAAATATCATTGATCCTTTTATATATTATATTATTATCATATTCTATCCTAATTAATTTTAATTAATAGATATGATCTTCAATTATCCTATCATATCCTAATTAATACCGATATAAGCTCATATTTGATTTAAGTATGTTATATATTATATTAAGTTATAGATAATTATCTCCCTTTAAAAGTGGATGCTAAAAAAAACTTTCCATGGACAAAAATACCCTTGACCCTTTTAGATTTTATATTATTAACATATCCTATCCTAATTAATTTATATTAATAGTTATAAACTTCAATTATCCTATCATATCCTAATTAATATGTATATAGATTTAAATATGTTAAGCATCATATTAAGTTAGATAATTATGCAACCTCCAAGTTCATCAACTTCTCTAGAAGTTACAAAATAGAAAACCTCATAACTTACGAATTTTATTTACTAGAGAAAACATACAAAGATTTAAAATTTTGACTATCTAAAGATTTGAAGTACCTAACAAGTGAAAAATTAGAACTCTTTATCTTATCATTCATTTCTTTATATTTAAATTTAAAATAAAGATAATAGATGATATTATGAAATATTCTCTCCTCCTAAATTGTTTTCGTAATTAAGAAGATAAATGTTAGTTCTGGGTGAATGACTAAGCTAGAAAATATTCAAAATCCGTAGAATTTGCACATCTCATGAAATATCCAAAAGACATAGTTAGAATATTTTATAAAAAATTAGCCCACAAGATTAGGAAAAAAATACTCAAAAAGACTTTCAGAAATTGCATATTTTGCGTTGAAACCCAAAAACTTCAAATATGAGAAATTTTGCAAAAATATCCTATGTTTTAAAAAATATGAAGAAAAATCATAGTATTACAAAATTTTCACAAAAGTTCAAAAGAATCCCTTACATTTAAAATTATTCTAATTAAAATAAATTCTTTAATATGATTTCATTGCGATCATATGCTAATTAATCAATATATCTTTAATATGATACAAGGTATATGTTATGGTAATTACCATCCAAAGATAAAGATACCGAAAGATTGTCTGCATAGGCTAAAAAAGGCCATGGTCCAAACCAGCTTAGAGCCTCAAAAGCCTAGCCAAGGGCAAGTCTATCGGCCAGTCGAGTGGACGAGTCATTTTTGACCAAGGGTCATCATTACTGACTCGAAGTGTGGGGCCAGTCGGTCCCTCGTAATCAAGACGACTCCTCTCGCAGACGTCTCGACTATACACTCGACCCGAATCTCACTCGGCTATCAAGTCGGGAAATCACAAAGACAACTCATGAACCGACTCGCCTCTACTAAGGGGATAAGATCCAGCTAAGCTCACCTCAGATATCAATCAACACAACAGCACTGATCAGTCCCATCAAGATCTTCGCTCTGACAAATCCCCTGCACAAGCCGCTTATTCTACTCACAAGTCACTTCTCTAGGATCGCCATGATGCTCTTCTGGGCTCGAATGACTTCCCTTCCAATCACCAACCGCTATCTGGAGAGGGAAGGACAACCGAGCAGCGGGCCTATCCTCTGTCCTGCCTCATCTGTCAAATCCAGGATGCTGAGGGGACATATCTCTCCTGTATTTGAATGACTTCTCTCCCAATCGCCAGCCGACACCTGGAAGGAGAAAGATGACTCAGCCTCTAGCTCACCCCTTAACCGCCTTATGTGCATAATCAAAGCCGAAGGGACAAACTCCCAGGGGCGATGGGCTATAAAAGGGGGAAAATAAGGTTAAAAAAAGAGGATTCTTTTCTGCTACTTCTTGATAAAAGCTCTGAATTTACCTTTGCTAAAAAAATAATCATTAATTCCATAAGAGTACCCCCTGCAAGGACCTCAATGGCCCAGGGACCTCTCAAAAAACCCTCCTCAAGTTTACTGACTGACTTGATGGTCGGAGGTACCACGGGGAAATTAGCCCCGTACTCCTGAGATTCTTACATGTGCAGGCTATCAGCCCACCCCGCGCGCGCAGAATCGGGCGTAGAGTCGGAGGAGGAGTCGGTCCCATCTCTTATCCTCCCAACCTTCGTCATCATCAGAAGACCCTCAACGACTGTGTGTTCACGGACATCAACAGACTCTTTAGCAAATGACTCTGTGGAGACCAAAAATCACAATTTGAGAGGTATAACCTACAAATATATGAGCATTTTTAGTCATTTTGACATGTTGTCAATAATTCTATGGATGCCAAAATTCACGATTTCTTAGTTATAATCCACGATTTTGATCATTTTTAGTCGTTTCGACCCATCGGCAAATACTTTTACGGATGCCAAAATTCACAATTTCGTAAGTTATAACCCATAATTTTGGTCATTTTTAGTAGTTTCAACATGTGAGCGAAATGGGGCAACAATGTCCTTAACATCTGTTTAATCAGAAATGTGATTAGATATCTCAGAATATTGCAAAAACCCTTTAGATATCAGAGTAGTGTATTGTTCTAATAATGAAAAAAACTTCATCACCTCACGTAATGCCACAGGACAATTGAGGCAACAATGTCCACAACACCAATATATACTTTAGTTTGCTCGGAGAACTTCTTTTATCAGAAATGTGATCAGATATCTCAGAATATTGCAAAACCCCTCTAGAAATCTATTCCGGCCACAAATCCATTAGCCTCTGTATTGTACTAATTATGTAAAAAAACGCATCACCGCTTGGAATCTCACAGGACAATAGGGACAAGATTGTCTCAAGTATCAATATATGCCCTCATTGTACTCGGCTGTACTATGTATCAGACGTGTGATCAGTTCTCCCCCCCCCCCCCCCCCCCCCTCCTTGCTCATTTTTCTGTCAGGGCCTGTTTTTGTTTCGAAAAAAAAGACCGAAAGTGGGGGAAAAGAAGGTGAATTTTGATGTTTTCCTCCACTTTCAGAGGTTTGGTTCGTCAAAGCTATAACCGAAAGTAGGGGAGAAAATGAGTTGTCACCATATTATTGGTTGATGTGAGTAATTTTTGATGACTTCCTCCACTTTCCTTGTTTAGGTTCTTTTCTTATGTTTGGTTCATTCTTAAAAGTGGGAGAAAATAGATGAGATGAGATAAGTTGTCATTATATTATTGAATGATGTGACACATACTTAGAAAAATCAATTTTCTTGTTTTTTTGGTGAATAGGGATGGAAGAAAATTTTAAGGGAAAATTGCTTCCAACCCCCAAAACAACCCAAAACGTGCTCTGCCCCCCCCCCCCTTTTTTTTCAACGTGCCTTTTCCCCCCAAAACCGCCCCCGATTTTCTTCCAGCCCCCAAAACGAATCCCCAGGCGTAACTCCGTTTAAACCCCGCTCGAAATGCCCAAAATACCCTTCGCAGCCTGTGTTTGTCGCCCTCTCACGACGGAAACCCATCGTTTCGACTGTAGGCATTAAATGGCGATTAGAATGACTTTGGGGGGGGTTCTCATTTTCCTCCAAAATTATCACCAGATATTATCACCAGCTATATTCCCCTTCAAGCTAAAATCGTTGATTTCCTCCCCATTCTATTACCCCAACTAATTTGTTCCTTCCACTTAATTCTCCTCAATAAAAGCCTCTTCGATTCTTCAACTACTCCCTGTAATAAAATGCCGGATGGATCTCTTCTATGCGTGCTAACGAAGGCAAAAAGCAACAAAAGTGGTGACGGTGTATTCGTCGTTATCAAAGAGAATACAGAAATAATCAGCTTGAGATATCGAGTGGCGGAAAGGCTTAAAATACCAATGCAATCTCTTTCACTGAAGTTCATATGCGAAAGGGAAAAGAAATTCAGTATTTCAATTGACAATGACGACGACTTAAAT